TCTCAAAGTATAATTTTTATATAGTTTTGATATTTAAAATGTATGTACATCTATTGAAAAACATTCATAATAGTAACAAAAACTATAAAGCAAGAAGGAATTAAATTAGTAAAAAAACAATTCCAAACAGAAACTTTAAACTCTTAATAAAGAACACAGATAGAAGGTGAACTGAACAAATGAAGAGCTGTTCCATGCTCTTGGATGGGATGAGTTAATATTCTGATGATGTCAAATCCCTCAGGTTAATCTATACATTCAGTGCATTCCTAACTAATAATCCAGTTGGATTTTTGAAGAGTTTGAAAAACTCTTTCTCAAATTTATATGGAGATGTCACTAAGATAACCCTAAAAAAAGAGTAAAGAGAAGGGACTTGCCCTATCAGATGTTAAGAAACATTACAAAGTAAAAACAAGGTGATGTTAGTGCAAGAACACAAACAGATATATGTGTGTTTCATAATATATGATAGAGGTGGCATAGCAAATCAATAGAAAAGGAAGGGCTGTTTAGTATTCGATCGTGGGGAATGTGGCTCCGTGTGTGGAAAAAATAAAACTGCATCCCTACCTATCTCCACATATGAGAGTGGATTCTAGATGGAGTAAAATTTAACGGTGAAAGGTAAACTCTAAAATTAAGAAAAAAATGTAGGCAAACATCTTTGTAACCCAGGAGGAGGGAACTATTTTTGAAATAACGACCCCAAACCAAAAACCATAAAGCAAATAATTTTATAAATTTGATTACAATAAAATCAACAGCCCTGGCCAGTTTAGCTCAGTGGTTAGAACGTCAGCCTGCGGACCAGAGAGACTCCAGTTCAGTTCCTGCTAAGGGCACGTACCTTGGTTGCAGTTTGTCCCTGGCCTGGGATGGGGTCATGTGGGAGGTGACCAGTCAATGTTCTCTCTCACAGATGTGTCTCTCTCACATCAATGTTTCTCTCTCTTCCTCCCTCTCTTCCTCCCACTCTATCTGAAGATACATGCAAAAATGTCCTCTGGTGAGGATTACAAAAAAAAAAAAAAAAAAAAAATCAACAATTTCTTTTCTTTTCTTCTCTCTCTCTCTCTCTTTCTTTCTTTGCTTTTCCTTAACAATTTATTTTCAAAAATGGCTATCATGGGCAAAGTTAAAAGAGGGAGAGAATATTCACAATGTCTGAAACTGACAGGGCAGTAATAGCTAGAATACATAAGGAATTCTAGCAAATCAACAGGAAAGAGGGACCCCAATAAAAAAAAAAAAAGGGCCAACTATACAAGCAGGTAATTTACACAAGAGACATTTAACACACATATGAAGAGATGTTCAAAAATTCATCAGTAATTAGAGAAATGCAAACTAAAACAAACTATTACTTGGTTAGCATGAGCATTTAGAAGCAATAGTTTAGATGTATACACAGCAATGTAGATTGGCTGAAAACACATGGCTGAATGAAAAAAGTAAGAAACATAATGAGATACCATTTACATAAAACAAAATTGCACACACACAAAGCATCTTTCATTGTGGTACAACCTATTACGTGCTTCCTGAGGTGATACAGTATGAAGTAAACAATACCACCTAGGTACTGTTATTGCTGAAAATATTTAACCTGAATCTAATCATGTGGAAAGAGCAGATAAATCCAGAATGTGGGACATTCTATAAGAAACTTGTCAAAAATATCAGTGTAATATAAAACACAAAAAATACAGGGTACTGTTATAAATTAAAAGAGGTTAAAGCAGTACAACAACCATTCATAATGCATAAACCATGATTAGATCCTGGGATTAAAAAATAAGAGCGGGTCTAAAAACATTTTGGGCATAATTGGAAAATTTGAGTGTAGGGCATTATTAATGGTATTTCTGAATTGTTAAATTTTCTTAGGTGTAATAATGGTACTGTGGTTATATAGGAGAATGTCCTTATTTATTATTTTTGTTAATCCTCACCTGAGGATATTTTTCCATTGATTTTGAGATAGAATCTTGGAAGGGAGGGAGAGAAGGAGAGAAACATTGATGTGAGAGAGACACATCGATTGGTTGCCTCCTGAATGCACCTGGACTGGGGTGGGGGATTGATGTCCTGCCCAAACCGGCAAGGACAAATGTTTTTATTTTAATAGATGTGTGCTGAAGAATTTAGGGTGAAGTGTTATACTGCCTGCAACTTTCAATTGGTTTATACATACACATATAAATAGAAGTAGAGTAAATTTGGCAAAGTATTAAGGGTAAATGGGCCTTCATTGTACTTTTCTTTCAACTGTTCTGAATTTTGAAAAATTGAAAAGTAAAAATTTTGGGGGAAAAACTTGCACATAAAACAACAGTGCAGCCCCAGCCGGTTTGGCTCAGTGGTTGGAGCATCAGCCTGCGGACCAGAGAGTCCCAGGTTTGGTTCCTGCTAGGGGCACATACCAAAAAACAAAACAAAAACAAAGACAACAGTGTATATTTTACAACAATACAAATAAACAAAAGACACATAATGTACTTTAGAATGGTTGTATACATGAGTAAAATAAGAGTGGGAAGTAGAGACGAGAGTGAATTTATTTATTTATTTTTTGAGATTTTAGGAAAATGTGTTTTTTTCATTAATTTTTGTTACAGATGTGTCTCCTTTTTTTGACAAGGTAATTAAAAAAATAGCAAAAACCTCCCTAAAGTAATAGATATTCATTGAATATGTGAAAACAGAAAAGTACAATAAGAAAAGAAAAACACCTAAATTCATTGATATTCTCATTTTCTCTGTCAGTAGTTGTCAAAATGTAGCACCTGGACTAGCAGTAGCAGCTTCATCACCATCTCCATCACCATCACCATCACCATCACCATCACCATCACCATCACCATCACCATCACCATCATCACCACTTGGGAACTTGTTAGAAATGCAAATTCCTGGGCCCTATACAAGATTTACTGAAACACAACTCTGGAGGTGGGACCCAGCAGTTGGTATTTTCACAAGCCCAGTGATTCTGCTGCTGGCCAAAGTTTGAGAACCAGTGATCTAGATCTAAATACCATTAATTTTGTTGTAGATCTTTGTAGTTTTCCTAAAACTATTATGAAATCTTTTAGGCATGCAAATAAGTATAGAGAATAAGACACACCCATGTATCTACTACCCAGATAAACTGTTAAACAAACAGTTGAAATCTCCTGTGTATCTCTCACTCATTTTGTTCCTTTGTTTTCTTCCCCAGAGGTAATCATCGTTCTGCACTTGGTATTTACTTCCCTTGTTTTAAAAATGTTGTTTACATATTTATGTAATCTATTAACAACATAGTGTATTGTTTCCTAGATTTAAAAAATATATATGAATAAATTGTCTCAGACTTCATGTATCCTTTTACAACTTGTATTTTATCTCAGCATTGTGTTTATGAAATTTATCTGGATTGACACATGTAACTTTGGTTCATTTTTCACTGCTGTATAGTAAGTAGTCTACTGTAGGTTGTACTACTATTTTTTCATTCTCTTGTTGGTGAACTTTTATATTGTTAATATATTTTCTCTATTACAAACAATTCTGCAGTGAATATTCTTGCACATGCCTCCTTGTTCATATGTATAAGAATTTCTCTAGGACTTAAAGTCTAGGGGTTGGACACACACACACACACACACACACACACACACACACACACATCTATGACAGTAGAATTGCTGGGTCCTAGGGCCATCTTCAACTGTTCGGGATACTTTCTGATTGTTTTCCAAAGTAGTAAAACCAATTTTCACTTCTATCAAATATTTCGTTATAATGTTTTTCCTTATAGTTTGTGCATTTGCGACTGTTTATAAAGTCCATACCTGGGCCCTGGCCAGGTCACTCAGTTGGTTAGAGCATCATTGGATACGCCAAGAATGGAGGTTTGACAATGTTTCTACCCTGCCTCCCCAATCAATAATTTTAAAAAAGTCTTTACCTGTCCTAGGTTACAAAAATATTCTCCACCCTCTTATGTGAAAATAAGTAGGCATCCAGTTTTATTTTTCCCCTTATGGTGAGCCAAATTTCCCAATGCTACTTACAAAATGTCCATTTCCATTGATTTATCCCTCAGGTGTAAAATTTCACCCATTTAACAAACATTTTCTGAAGCCTGCCTTGTACCAGTCTTGTGCTGGGGTTTATTTAGGGATCGAAGATACATGGCCCTTAATCCTACTGATTTCTCTCTCCTGTGGAGATACAGCCATGTAAATGATTATGGTATTAAGTGATAAGTTTGACAAAGTGCTCTGGGTTTCTGACTCAGCTGGGAAAGTTCTTAGAAGTGACAAGGGTTAGGTATTAAAGAACTGGCAAGGATTTGCTAATGCCGAGTAAAGGTGAGGGTGACCAGGGCTGGTTTGGGGTCCAGAGTGTGTCTAGGGTGAGCGATTAGAATCCTTCCATGATGTAGGGGCAATGAGTCCTGTGTATGTAAGGGGTAGGACTGGGCAGAGGGTGTCATTTTCTGCCTGGATTCGGTGGAGGTGGAGGAACATACCATAGGAGTACAGGGGCTCGGAAGTGGAGGGGCTGGAATTAAATGGTCAGGAAGAAGACATTTTCAGACTAATATTTATGGTTTTCAGGGGGAGACCTCATTCTCCAGTCAGGTCAGGAGCTCCTTGAGATAGTTCCTGAAAAATCTCTAACTTGCCCCCACTTCAGAGACATCAACCCATTCCCTTCTTCAGGCACTACTCTGGGCCTCGGGGAAGCGACGGAGGGGAAGAGGGCAACCGGCTGGGAGAGGCTTCCAGGTGTTTGACTCTTGGGCCTGGCCATGGATCTCAGCTTCTGCAGAAGGAGCTGGGAGTGGCTGCTTACGTTGTGTGGGGTCCAACAAGCCGGAAAGGTTGCTGGAAACAGCTAACCCAGCCACTTCAGGTGGGGAACACTCGACAGACATGTGACTCAGGCGGCCATTTTCTCACACCCTGCCCGTCGCCATCTTCCATTGGAGACAAAGGCACTGACTCCCACGTTCGTCGGACGCGGTAATGGTTATGGCCTGGTCACTGCGTTTCGGGAACACGCGTATTTAGGCCTGGGCAGAGGACCGCGGAGAAGATCTTGACTTACAAGTAGGTTATCTGATCACATCCGTCAACCCGTCGCTAACCCCTCCCGCTTTCCCCTCCCGCATCCCCACCCCCCTCCTCCCCCCTCCCCCCTCCTCCCCCCTCCTCTATTTCCCTACCTTACCCAGCAGCCGGGGGGCGGGGCCATCGCAGCCGCGGGGAAGCGACGGGCGGGCGCGAGCTGTCAATCCGAAGTCCCGCCCTTCGGAGCGCGAGGCGGGCGGAGCTGGAGCCCAGAGGCTGGGACACGGAAGTCGGAACTAAGCGGCGCGAGCGCAGTCACTGGGCCAAGTGTGCTGTCTCGCTACCCTCTCATCTCAGATCCCCGCCGGAAGTGGAGGTAAGAGACGACTCTCTTTTTCAGTGGTGAGCACTCACCCCGCCGGCCGCGCGGTAAGGGTCATCTACATGAGGTGAAACAAGAGGCGCCTTCCACCGAGGAATAGAGAGGTAAAGAGCCGACTCCATTTCAGGATAAAGGGCCCAGACGAAGGGCAAGGATCGCTCCGCACGTGGACATGCGCTCATATGCACTCTTGCGGGGTAGAGGGGCACGGCCTGACCCCATTTAGACAGCTGTAGACCCTGTACACACTGTGCAGAGTCCTAGACCTCGCTTGTGTGGAGAAGCGTTGCATGCCCTCCTCCCTTCATGATAGTGAGGCTCCATTCCGCACTCTTCGTGTGTAAGCAGGCGTCGACCCCCCCTGCCCGAAGGTGTGGCGACGATGGCCCTACTGGTGTAGAGACCTGTCCTCAGCCCCACGATGCTGACCAGCGGAGACCTCTACGGGCGCTAATGCACTGATTCGCCTTGACGCACCTCTTCTCTTAGGACAGAGGCTTTGATGTATACCCCCACTTTCCTGCCGACCACCAGTATTGTGGAACTTAGAAACTTAATATACAGGGGGAGGGAACATCCTTCCCTTCGCAGGACCTAGAGACCTCCTAGCCTCGCTCCAGTGTAACTAATTGACGGAAGCCCCGCCCCCGCTCCTGCAGAGATGGTAGATCACCCCTCCTTAAGTGATTGCAGGGACAATCCTCAGCCTATGGAGAACCTTGCAGATTTCCCCCTCCTCCTAGGCTACAGTGAGTACCTATTGTAGAAAATCAGTCCGCTCTTTTTTTTTTTTTTATATCCTCACCGGAGGATATTTTTCCTTTTTTTTTTTTTTTTGTTCAGATAGAGTGGGAGAGAGAGGGAGAAACATCGACGTGAAAGGGACACATCATGAAAGGGACACATTGAGTGGCTGCCACCCGCAAGACCCAACCAGGGCTGGGGGAAAAACTGCAACCGAGGTACATGCCCTTAGCAGGAACGGAACCCTGGTCTCTGGGGACTGCAGGTCAATGCTCTAACTGCTGAGCAAAACCGGCCAGGGCGAAAATCAGTCCACTCTTTAAGGAGGTTCTGGTTTACTGAATTTGTAGGGGTTTAACCCCAAAATGCCCCACAGCAGACTGCAGTACACCTTAATCTAGGAAGAGACTCAGATCTGCCTTTTGTGGGGCTCCCAGGGTAGCAGGGTTTAGATTTGTTTCCTCTTTTGAGGTGAACAGAGATCACCCCCAACCAAGGATTTAGAATCATCAAATGTAGCAAAGAAGAAACTCCAAGGGAACAGATAGCTCCCACTCTCTGCAGTGTTGAGAGGCAATGACATCACTGATCACCTGCAATTCATGCATATGGTAGTTTCTCCACTTACCCAAGGTAGAGGAGCTTAGATCTCTTTCCAACCAGGGTAAAAACACAGGACCTCCCCCACCCCCTAGTGTAAAACCCAGGACCCCCCTCCAAGTGTAAGGGCTAATCCATTGAATTTATAGCTGGGTTGCCACCCTCCCTCTGCAGAGAACCAGAGGTCCTATTTCCTTCAATGTTAGTACACTGATAATAGATCTTTCTTTCCCATCCCACTTCCCATGGAAGGGTCTAGAAAAGCCACAGCAGGTAAGGCGCAGACCGCACTCATGCAAAGCTGCCTAAACCCCCCTCTTTGTTAGTGTGGCACTAATGTTACCTTGTAGTAAAGACAGACATATCAGTCCCACCCCATAGACAACCCCAGGGTAGAGACCCAGGACTACCCTTTGTACAACTTGGAGATAGGGACAGACCCACCCTTCTCCCCCATGCAGCAGAGATGCACACAGCCACTGCACCAGTTTCCCCAGTTCCTCTGCACCCCAGAGTAGAGGGACAGAAGGCATTCTGTCTCCCCAAATCACCAAGGAACAAACCTCGACCACAAATGTAGGCACAGATTTTCTCTCCTCACCCAATGTTTTGCACTGACCTCAGGCAACATAGATATACAGATAAAAAACCCTGTTCTGAGGTCCCTTTTCCTGGGATTGTCTTTACTCCCTTTTGGGTGGATGTGACACAGAACTCCCTACTTGGGAAAAGAAGTACTATTAACACCTAATGTAGAAATAGATTGTCTTTGCATACTTCCTTACTCTCAGTGTAGAGAGTTTTAGTGCTATTCCCTTACCTGCAGGGTGGAGAATTGAGAACCAAGGACCCCATCTACTGCATTGTGGCATTGACTCCACCTAGGAAGAGAGGTTTAGACCCAGCCTCCCTTTGGATGGTGTGACACTGCCTTCCCTTTGTAGACTCAGCCATACCAGGCCCTAGCATCAGTATAGTCCCTTCTCCTAGTTCTTCCCATTGTTAGGGCTTCCTTATGTTCTTTAACATTTTGTTTTGCCTTTTGGGGGCTCAGAGGAGGCTTGTGGCATTGTGTTTCCCCAGTCCTCTCTTCAAATTGGTTCTTCTTCTATTCTGACAGGAAGAAAGCCTGCAGATTTGAACCTATCTCCTTTTAAGCTGTTCATCATGATGAAACTTAGACACAGTGAGTTTCTTTTACCCTTCTCCCAATTCTAAATGGTAATGAATATTCATAGTATTTCACGGCAACTTTAAAAATTTGCCCAGATCATTCTGTCTTTTTTTTTTTAAATCCTCACCCAATGATATTTTTTCACTTATCTTCAGATAGAGTGGGAGGGAGGGAGGGAAGGAAGGAGGGAGGAAGAGAGAAAAGAGAGAGAAAGAAACAAGCATCAGTGTGAGAGAGACACATCAACTGGTTGCCTCCCCACATGACCCCAACCAGGACTGGGGATGAACCACAACCGAAGTACATGCCCTTGGCTGGAATGGAACCCGAGACTCTCTGGACTACGGACTGATGCTCTACTGCTGAGCCAAACTGGCCAGAGCTGTCTGTCTTTTATATATGGTATCATTGTTGCCTTCCCAACTTCCTTGTGAGGTAATGCTCCCCTTATCTCCCATTCTCATTTTACAGATGAGAAACTGAGGCTCAGCAAGGATAAGTGACTTGACCTGAGGTGAATAGCAGTAAATACCATATCATACTACCTGGAACTTAACGTCCCCTAACCTTTTTCTTTTTAAGTTGTACCTTTAAGTTGGTACCATAAATTGTACCCGTGGCCAAGAGAATGGACTCTGGAGCCAGAATGACTTTGAATCTTATCTCTTTCACTTATTAGTTGTGTGGTCCTGGACAAGTTACTGAACTTCAGTCTCTTTATTTACAAAATGGGGTAATAATAGTACCTACCTAGCCCTGGCTGATGTGGCTAATTTGGTTAAAGTGTTGTCCTGTACACTGGTTTGATTCCCAGTCAGGGCACATACTCAGGTTGTGGGTTTGATTCCCAGTTGGGGTGTGTACGGGAAGCAAGTGATCAGTGTTTCTCTCTCACATTGAAGTTTCTCTCCCCCTTCCTCTCTCTCTCAAATCAATGAAAACATATCCTCGGATGAGGATTTAAAAAAATAGTATCTACCTAATAGTGTTGTGAGGATTTAATGAGTTACAGTAGGTAAGATACTTAGAACAGTGGGTAGACTAAATGAGAATTGTACAACCCCAGTAGCCCCGTATTCTGTGTGAGTGGTGGCCCTGCCTATGTAGGCTATGATGAAAAAAAATTTAGTACATTTACTTTATATAATAGTAAAAAATGTCATCATGAACCAGACTTTGGTGTGTTAATACCAAAAGCAAATAATCATTTTTTCAAGTAACACAAGAAAAATGAACAAAATCAACTATATTTAAGAACATCAAATACCAGATTATTGATAGTGATAAAGAAGACCGTAATTAACTGGTTAACTAGAGTATATGCATACCAAAGACCCCTGGCAGTTTAAGATAATGAGGAAGTATTACATGGGAATATTATGTGGGAAGACTGCTGTATGGAAAACCATTAGATGGAAAGATCTCCAGGACTTGTTAATTGAAAAAAGCAAGTTGCTGACAAGAGTACATAGTATGTTACCTTTTGTGGAAGAAAATAGGGGGGAATAAGAATATATATTTGTATTTGCATAAAGAAACTGATTGATGCCTGATAAACTAATGAAGTGGTTTCTTATTGCAGTGATGGGGCTACAGTTAGGGACAAGTGTGGGAAGAAGACTTCTCAAAGTACACCTTTTTATTTTGGAACTCTGACCTGTTAAGGAGTAATCATACATGTTTATGTTAATGGAGAAAATGGTGAATGTTAAATTGAATAGAAAAACTTTACATGTGCACAAAAAACTCAGGTTTTCACTGGTGAATTGCAACTAAAGTATGTAACGAGTAACTGGATGATTATAGTGGTAGACGGGGGCAGTGCTGGGGGGTGCAGCTAGAGATACCTTGGACCCAAATGGTAATGATAGTGATTAAATCTGGGAACGTGATTGAGGAGCCCTACAAAGAGTGTTCAGCCCTGACCAGTTTGGCTCAGTGGTTGAGCATCGGCCTTCGGACCAGAGAGTCCTGGGTTCAGTTCCATCTAGGGGCACATACCACAAAAAAAAAAAAAAAAAAAAAAAAAGAGTGTTCAAATACAGTGTCAGCTGTTGTGCATATTTTTTTTTTTTTGGTGTTTATGTTTTGTTTCTGTTGTACATTTTTGAATTGTTAATAAAAAGGAGGGTGTGTATTATCACTTAAAAGATTTACACCCATCAGTGATTGGTGGCACAGGTATATAATTCATTGTAATGACAGACTGTGAATGTAAGCTGCATAGGGAGGAATGGGGGTGGCTGATGAGTAAGGAACAGAATGGAGGCTTCAGTGTTTTGGAAGTCTCTAGGAGGTTGAACAGATGAGCTCGAGGATAGCTGAGAAGGGTGTCTGAGACTGCCTTCTGAAGTCCAAGCAGTTCGAGAGAATGAGCATAGATGTCACCATAGCAGTGGTTGGGTAGGTGACTGCATGGAGTGGGGGTTCTTAGAGGTGAAGATGTTGAGGAAGTGGGAAACTGGAGTGTTGGAAAGGGTCCAGAGATCACCAAAGTTACCCAGGTTGATGGTGGCAGGAGTTGAGTTCAAAGTAAAGCTGTGAACCATGTGCTTCCATAAGTGAGGAAAAGTGATTCATAGGTGACAGGCATAGCAGCTGTCTCAAAAAGAGCAGGATTTTTCTCCCTCTTTCTTTTTCTTTTAAAAATTTTTGTTTTCTTTTATTGATTTTAGAGAGAGAGGAAGTGAGAGGGAGAGGGATAGAAACATCGATGCGAGAGAACATCGATTGGCCGCCTCCTGCATTCTCCCCACTGGGGATCGAGCCTACAACCTGAGCACGTGCCCTGACCGGGAATCGAACCAGCGATCTCTTGGTGCATGGGTCGACACTCAACCACTGAGCCACACCAGCTGGACTATTTTTCTTTTTTAACAAGAGGGAGAAATAGTCTTAGTTTGGCAATGGTGAGTCCAGAGAATACCTACTCTACCTATTGGCCCCAAGGTATTCATGTGCCAGAGAAAACAACAGCCACCTTTCCAGAGGCCTGCAGGTAAAACAGTGTCCTCAGAGCTGGAGGCAAGCCATTAAAGCAAGAGGTTAGGGAATTGTTCCCACGGAGAGGTGGAAGAATTAGGGGAGTGCTGAATTCCCCAGTGAGAGTTTCAGAGGGCATAGTGGGATATTTGAAGCAGAGGCAGAGGGAGGATGTTGGTGGAGTCAGTGCCAGGCTGGGTGTACAGGGATGTAGCGGGAGGAGAGTATGGAAGATGATGGGTGAGTGGAGAGCTCTGCCTGTGATTGATGTCAGAGTTGATAAGTGGAGATATTGGGGCTCAGAGAGATTTGAGAAAATTCTTCAAGGTCATATAGCTAGGCAGTTACTGTGCCAGAATAGGAATTTATGTGTGGCTGGCTACAAAATGGTAGCTGTTTTCTCTTTGAGGCTGTTAAAAAAAACACAGATTAACAGTGACTCCTGGGTGCTGCAGTGCCATGAGTGATGGCTGCACCCGTCCCTCTTCTCTTCTCCTTCTTTCCTGCCTCTTTCTGAAGCAGATGTTTTTCCGCTCTCTACGTGATGTATTTTCTTTCACTGTGTGCCTGTGTTCAGTGCATGCTCTCAGTTTCCAGGGAAGTTAGGCAGATGGAAATTGTTGAGTAAAATAGCCAGACCTGGTTCTCAAACCTCACATTCTTTTCATTGCAACATGAGTACTTTAGAAGAAAAGGAGACTTGGGGGTCTGGGTTTTTTTTTTTTTGTTTTTGTTAGGGAAATCCGACCAATTCACATTCATTATGATAAGTAACATGTTTGGTCTAATTTTTACCATCTTATTATATATTTTTGTTTGTTTCTTATTCCCTTATTTATTTACTTTGAAAAAATTGATCAACTTTAAAAAAAAAATCCTCCACCAGTATTTAAAGTTATGTTGGCAATTGCATTTATATTAATAGCAAACATATTTAAACTTAAATTTCTCTATCAGTTTACCAAAGTTAAATAATGACTATTTTTATTTTACTCTTTCAAAGTGAGACTTTAGCATGTTTTCATGCTTTTACTTTTCCAAACTCTATTGCTTGGTTCCTCAATTTTGTTGAAATCATTTGGTATTTTAATTCTGAGCTATTTTCTTACGATATGCTTCCTGGAGTTTAAAAATCCTTTCTTGATATGTATCATAGGTCTTAGCTGCATTACTAGCATTTTTTAAAGATTTAATGATAAATTTTAATAGATTTCCTGCCCACCATTATTTGTTTCCTTTAGCTTGAGATCTTTATTCTGATTTAATTTTTATGTGTGCTGGTGTATTTCCTCAAGCAGTTTTACCAGAAAGGGAATAGAGGTAGTGCCGTGGCCGGGTAGCTCAGTTGGCTAGAGTGCCATCCCCATAACACACCAAGGTTGTGGATTCAATCCCCGGTCAGGGCACATACAAGAATCAACCAATGCATGTAGAAATAAGTGGGATAACAAATCAGTGTTTCTTTCTCTTTCTCTTTCTCTCTGTCTCTCTCTCTCTTCCCTCCCCCCTCTCTCTAAAATCAATAATAAAAAATTGTAAGAAAAAGAAAAAAAAGGGAATAGAGGTGGTAATCTTCACACATCTGTCTTTCTTTTAAACTTCACCTAAGAGTGATCTATTGGTCAGGTATAGGAATTTAAGTTGGAATACAGTCTCTTGTCTCAGGACTTGTCATGGTTATTCTTTTGTCATAAGTGTTCAGAGTTGTAGATTTGAGAAGGCTGTCTACTGCCCTTGCCTTTGTTGGAAACTTTTTCTGTTTGGAAGTTTATACGATTTTCTCTTTGTCCTTGGAGTTCAGAAATTTCACCAGGATCTGCCTAGGATGTGTTTTTTGTGTTAATCTTGGTGCTACATGAGCCCTTCTAATCTGAAACCTCAAGCCTATTTTCAACTAAAGGAACTTTTATCTATTATTTACAATTATGCTTCTCCATTTGTACCTTTTTCTCTTTGAGGAACTCATGTTATTTTTTAATCGATTTGACAGAGAGGGAGAGAGAGAAACATTGGTTCGTTGTTTCACTTATTCATGCATTCATTGGTTGCTTCTTGTATGTGTCTCGACTAGGGATCGAACCTGCATCCTTGGCGTATTTGGATGACACTTCATCCAGCTGAGCGACCCAGCCAGGGCAGGAATTTCTGTTTTTTTTTTTTTATGTAGTAGCTCTCCTGGGTCTATTTTCCATTTTCTAATTTTACTCATAGCACACCCCTTGATTTATTAGCTTATTAATTTTATTGTTAGTGATGTCTGTTCTGCTTTTACTACATCTATTGAATTTTTTTTCCTTTATTAATTTTAGAGAGAGAGGAAGGGAGAGGGAGAGAGAGATAGAAACATTGATGAGAGAACATCGATTGGCCGCCTCCTGCAAGTCCCCTATTGGGGATCGGGCCCACAGCCTGGGCATGTGCCCTGATTGGGAATCGAACTGGTGACCTCTGAGTGCATGGGTCGATGCTCAACCACTAAGCCACACCAGCTGGGCACAGTGCTTGTTTTTAAGTAACCATTATTTTACTTAATAATGACCCCAAAAGTGTTACCTTTAAGTGAAAAGGTATGTATGTATAGGAAAAAAGATAGTATATACAGTGTTCAATACCATTTGTGGTTTCAGGTATCCACTGAGGGTCTTGGAGCCTATCTTGCAGATAAGGGGGGACTACTGTAGTGTTTAAATTCTCATCTCCTACATCAGCTCTGCTTCAGTGTGAACTACCTGATGAGATTGGGGAGCCTGTACTGGTAATCTCAAGCTGGTCCTGTATTTGTTTATACCCTGAACTTCCAGAATCTCTCCCTCTAGGAATTCCTTTAGCCTCCTTGCAGGTGGTGGGAAGTAAGGAAAGCCATTCTTCCCTAAGAGGTCAGTTGTGACTGGGATGAGAGATGGGACTTCTCATTGAAGGTAGAGAGGCCTCTTAAATTCCTGGGCTTTGTTAAGGTGTGATTGGGGCAGGTGAGCTCTCTCTACCTTTGTCCAAGGAAGGCTGCAGTTTAGCAGAATAGGGCAAGACCCTTTGGAGGCAGTAGCCTGAGCAGGGTTGGCAGGAAGGGGCAGTTCTTCTCCTATGTGCTGAGGGCATCTGCCCTGGCTTAGCCAACTGAGACTACTCAGATGACCTTTCTGTACTGCCAATCCCCCCACCTCAGCCTGGTGCTGAAATTGTTGAGTTGCTTCCTGCCAGATGTTGGGGGGGGGGGGGTGGTTACAAGCAGATATTCAGATCACTCTCTTCACAGGGTTCCTTAACAGTTGTTTCAGTTTGCATTGAAATAATGCCCCAGGCATTATATCTGGTACTTCTAACAATATTGATGTCATCTCACTGTCTGTCTTGTCCTGGGCCTAGACAGACATGGTGTCAGAGGCGTCCTTAGGTCCCATTGTGGCCTGGCCTTGATTAAGGTATCAACAAATGTTGGGTAGGTGAGTGATGGCTTTTTTTTTTTTTTTTTTTTGGGTAGAAAATAAGAAGCCAGGTAAAGGTTCCAAAGGCTGCAAGAAGGTAAGTTAGCCCTACCCTCAGGTAAGGTATGCCCATTGTTGGGGTAAGGGTAGGAACAGGTTGCCTGCCCTAGAAGAGGCCCACAAAACCCAGTAGATGTTGAGCGACTGTAGACAAAGTACCATATTGGATTCAGTGAATCTGGCTTTCCTTCCCTCTCTGGGTGGCCATAGCAGAGAATCAGCAGCATTTATTAAGTTTACACCACAGGCCACATGCTGCTTAGTGCTTGGTTCACCTTGGTAGGGATGGTCTTCGTCTCATTTTTTAGATGAAGAAACTGAGCCTCAGTGAGAAAGTTCCTAGGTTCAGGGTAGTGCAGCCTGGACTTGAGTCTGTCTGAGTCCCAGTACCTATCACTCTTTAGAGAAAGGCCAAAACATAATCTTTGGCCTCAGCTCCCAGATCTCCTGGACCTGCTAGGACCTGCTAGTGAGACTTGGGCCAGAGCAGCGGTTCTCAAATTTTAGCATGATTAAAGTTGTCACACTTTAACCAGGGCTCCAGAGTTACCTGAAGGGCTGATTAAAACAGATTGCTGGGCCCCACCCGAGTTTCTGATTCAGTAGGTCTGTCGTGGCACTCGAGAATTTGTATTTCTAACAAATCCCCAGGTGATGCTGCTGCTGTTGGTCCAAGGATCACACTTTGAGAACTACTTAGCTTTTCCCTTGGCCTTTACTTCAGAAATCTTCCCAGTTGCACCCCACCCCTTTCCTGGGGTTTTTCAGTCAGTTCCTGCCTGGCGAGGGGAGGGAGGGTCTCTTTTTAACAAGATGGGCATACCTCTGGGGCAGAGCCCTTCTTTTTGCTTGCTCTTCTCCTCCTTTTCCCCTGACTATACTACTGAGAAACTTTAACACCCTCGGGAGGGATGATTCCCATGGGTTCATTAGCTCTGTTTGATTTTTTTCCTCTTGTGTGGTGACCGTCCTGCAAAGCAGAATGGGAAGAAAGCAGCCTTCAAGGTGGCCTCCACTCCCCAGTTTGTTCACTCCAATGATCGTGCCAACAGGGAAGCTGGATTAAAGAAGAGGGTAAGTACTTGACTGTTGGGGAGAGAGAGGGCTTGCTTTGACTACCAGGTCCACAGGAGTGGTAAATGGAAGGGCAAAGGCCAGAATGATTAGGGTTGTAGAAGCGGTTGTGGAAGGAGGAAGGGAGGGTGTTCCTTTCATACTTGATTTAGTGTCTCCATTTGCTCACCTCCCAGTCCCAGCTCTGAAATGGTCTCTACCAGCCTCACCAGTGCACTCTCTGACATCAGACTTATGGATAATTTTCACCGCATCCAGTCCAAATTCTCTACATTTTAGGCATGCTTTCCTTGAAATACTCTCACTCTCCTTCCTCTTTTCCAGTCTCTGTCCCTGCTCTCGATATGGTGGGACATCCCACGAGTTTGTCCTGTTTTCCCTCTGCTCTTAAGGGGTTCCTCTGCCAGGAACACATTCTCTCTCAGCTTCCCATGCTCCCCTTTTTATTGTCCTCTGCCCCTCTATCCCTTCCTGCATCTCTCTGTCTTTTTTATTCTCTAAAACCCCTTATCTCCTGCTGTGACACCTGTATCCCTGCTCCTTTTACCTCTGCAGTGTCACACTGTTTCCTCCCTCTGTCACCCGCTCTCTGTTCTTCTCCGTTGCCATCCTTCCCGTAGACTGCAGACCTAGTCAGCCTGGTGTGTGTTCACTTGTTAGGTTGAGGAGATGAGGGAGAAGCAGCAGGCTGCCCGGGAGCAGGAGAAACACAGACGCAGGACCATCGAGAGCTACTGTCAGGATGTCCTGCGACGCCAGGAGGAGTTTGAGTCCAAGGTAAGAGATCAGTCTTCGCCCCTGGGCAGGACTGGTACGGGATTGCTCAGAGCGTCTGTGAAAGGGAAAGAGAAAGGGTGTGAGGTGGTTGGAAGGGAAGTAAGGAATCAGTGCAAAGACGATGGGAGAGCAGTGAGGACGGGAAGGGAGGGGGGCTGAGAGGGAGGTAAAATGGTGGAAATAAGTGGGACATTTTGAACCTTATGTGTGAGTGGACAACCCTGGCTAGGTCCTTTCTCTCAAGCTGGAACCCAAAGATGAGGCATTGGGAATGGGGGTAGGGAGGTGTATGACTAAGGGAAGGGCGGGGGAGAGGGACTGAGGATATTAGGGGAGGGTTGAGAGAGGAGTATATGTGAGGGAGATGTCCTCTTCCTTCTAGGGCTTCGTACTGCCTTTCTGGCATGTGTTCTGGTCTCACAGAATATGCACTTTCCAACTCATAGTCTCTTTTCTAACATAAAGTACATTTTTTGCCTTCCCCATCCCATGGCCCCTATAGCTTGTTTTTCTCACACCTTCCTCTCACATTCCTTCCTTCCACACCCATGTGCACACTAAGACCTCTGGCTGGTGCTTGAATGCACACTTACACGCAGGCACACATAGGTACCATGTGGGCCTGTCTATTCTTCCATTTTCCAACTTTGTTGGCTGGTCAAAGCTACTCTTCGGTGGGCTGGGGCTCATGTGACTCCTCGAGCCTCAGATGGTCTCCAAAGCCCTGGCTCTCGCTCTCTATTTTCTCCCCTTCACCATTCTCTTCTTTTTCCCTTTAGGAGGAAGTTTTGCAGGAATTAAATATGTTTCCTCAGCTTGATGATGAAGCCACAAGGAAGGCTTATTACAAGGAATTCCGTAAGGTATGAGGACCCATTTCTTAAGGCCCTTTTGGGAGGGCACCTGTCCACACTCATCCTCTCTCCATTTTTGTTTTTCTTGAGTGAGATGGAGACCTTTTCATTCACGGGCCTGTGCGATTGTTACCCAGTCCTTTCCCTACCTCCATCCCTCATCCTCTGCCCTGCAGGTGGTGGAATACTCTGATGTGATCCTGGAAGTTCTGGATGCCAGGGACCCGTTGGGCTGCCGCTGCTTCCAGATGGAGGAGGCTGTCCTGCAGGCAGAAGGCAACAAGAAACTGGTCCTGGTCTTGAATAAGATTGGTTGGTATTGAGAAGGATTGGGTAGGCAGGGCAGGGGGCAGGCCTTCTTGAAAGACTAGCTCTGACCAGACCATGAGACCCAGCAACTTAGTGGTATTCCTAACAGTTATGCAAGGTAGGGATTCTTGTTCCAGTTTTTAAAATATGTTGTTATTGCTATTTTAGAGAGAAGGAAGGGAGAGAGAGAGAGAAACATCAATCGGCTGCCTCCTGCACACCCTCTACTGGAGGTTAGGCCAGCAACACGGGCATGTGCCCTGACCAGGAATTGAACCAGGACGTCTCAGTCCCTGAGATGACACTCAATCCACTGAGCCATGCCGGCCAGGCTTGTTCCGGTTTTTAAAGCCAGGAATCTGAGAGGTGAAATCATTTGTCTAAAGACACACACAGAGTGCAGCAGAAGTTGGGAATGGAGTCCAAGCCTGTCTGCCTTCGATTCTCCCCTCCTTGCCATTTTGAGCCTTATCTGTGACTGGCCAACCCTCGAGAGTTTCTGTCTTCTCCAAGCTGGAACCCAAAGACTAGGGCATAAAGACATATGGGCTCAGGAGTCGCTCAGGTCTGGATCTCATCCTAGTTGTGCTATTTTGTCTGGGATCTTGGATAAGTCATATCACCTGAGAGCTTTCATTTTTCTCCAACTGTGAAATGAGCTATGATTGTCCTAACCTGACAGGTTGTCATGAGAATTAATAATAAAGTACTTGGTATATGTGTGGTCAGTGCCTCACAAATGGTAGCCACGTTATTCTTGACATTTGGTCCAAACTAGAGTGATCCAGAGAGGGGATGGAAAACACAATCTTTGGAAGGCCTCTGGCACCCTGGGAGCTCTGGCTTGGAAGGAAGGCACCTGGGACCAAACAGCTAGTTTTCTCATTCTCCCTGAGGGAATAGAGGTCTCCCCAGGGAGGGCCAACTGGTCCCTTAGAATACAGTGTCCTTTCTAACTCTAACCTGGGGACTAGAGAGGGACTGGCAGGGCCAGGGAGATACCTGTTGGCAGGAGGTAGGCCTAGTCTTGGGTATGGGTAGGTGCATCTTCGGAGTGAGCTGCTGAGGTCATGTTCTCCATACCAGTTCTGTGTGTTCCTATTTCCCCTAGACCTGGTCCCCAAGGAGATTGTAGAGAAGTGGCTGGATTACCTTCGGAATGAGCTGCCAACTGTGGCTTTCAAGGCCAGCACCCAGCATCAGGTCAAAAACCTGGTAAGCAGGGGCCAGGGCATCTACTCTTTCAGGGTAGCCCGGGGCCAGGGATGGAGATGGACTGAGGCCTCCAGCTCTTTGGTAATTGAGCTGCACCTTCAACTTTGAGCTTTTTGCTTTACTGGATGACTTAATATTAGTTTCATTTCATTTCTTCCTATATTATTGCTCTTAGGAAGCATTTTTCCCAAATGTAAGGGTAATACATATTGGAAAATAAAGTTAGTTAACAATTTGTTAAACTTTTTAAAAAAAATCCTCACCTAAGGATATTTTTCCATTTATTTTCAGACAGAGTGGAGGGAAGGAGGGAGGGAGGGAGAGAGGGAGGGGGAGAGAGAGTGAGAGGAAGAGAAACATCCATGTAAGAGAGACACATCGACTGGCTGCCTCCCATAGGACCACAGCCAGGGCCGGAGACTGAACCACAACTGAGGTGCCAAACCTGTGACTCTCTGGTTTGAGGACCGACACTCTAAACGCCGAGCCAAACCCACCAGGGCTGTTTGTTAAATTTTAAAATACATGCCTTTGCTTGTTTTTCTCTTTAAAACATCACACTACTTTCTAATTATATCATTAACACAGAAATACATTTTCATTGTAAAATATTAAAATACACAGAAACATTGGTTGCTTCTAGGGAGAGAAACTGGATGCTAGGGACATTTTTAAAATTTTTCACTAGTTGTAAAACTTATTATTTATTAAAAAGTAAAGTAGAAAAAATAAAAACAATTACAGATAAAGCTTAACTACCCTTTGACCAATACCCCTAATTCCAGTCTCCTTTATCCATATACAACCAGAGGTAACCATCATTGTCAGTATGGAAGGATCTAGGTGTTTTTATATACTTTATATATACTATATGTAAAGAGAAAATTGCGTTTGCAGGTTTCATATGTATCATCCTTCGGTTTGCTTTTTTTTCCCCCTGGGAGTTCTTTTTATAGAGATCTACCTTTTGATGCTAAATGAAATTACTTTCTAATTTATAACCAGTACTTCAGTGCATACCCTTGCACATGTTTGTGTAGGTTAGGTATTGAGAAGTAGAGTAGCTGGGTCATAGGCTTTATGCATTTTATATTTTCTTAGACACTGACAAACTGTATCCCTTCCCCAAGTGGCTATACCATTTATCTTCCTACCAGTGGGGTAGATGAATGTGTGAGAGGGTCTATTTCCCTCTACCCTTGTCAACATTTGATATCATTAAACATTTTAACCTTTGCTAATCTGAAAGACACATGAGATCTCATTAATTTTTTATTTACCTTTTTTTTTTAATCCTCAACCGAGGACATTTTACCATTTTTTGTTCAGATAGAGTGGAAGGGAGAGAGAGGAGAGAGAGAAATATCGACATGAAAGGACCACATTGAGTGGCTGCCACCCGCACGACCCAACCAGGGCTGGGGACAAACTGCAACCGAGATACATGCCCTTAGTGGGAACCGAACCTGGGTCTCTCCGGACCGCAGGCCAACGCTCTAACCGCTGAGCCAAACGGGCGAGGGCTTTCTTTTTTTTAACCTTTTGATGGCAAAAATGTGGTAAGAATCCTTTGCTATCAGCTGTCTTTCATTTGTATTCCACTTTAAGGATATATCTCATTAACATGTTTTTGTTGATGGATATTTGAGTTAATTTCTATTTTGCAATGGTATGGTGGGTAAGTAAGGAAAGGGGAAGAGATGGAAAGGCATTCTGGGCAGAGGAGGTGGGATGGCATCAGGAGTAGAGATGGAGGCTGGAATGGCCTTGTTCTGTGTGAGAAATCAAGAGAAGGTCGATTGTGTGTGGGCCAGGTGTCACTCTTCCCTTTGCAGGCAGGGATGGCAGGTGTCCCAGTTATGCATACGAAGGCACCAAGGCCCTGAGAAGGGAAGCAGGATTTTCTGGGGACACACCTCTAAGAAGAAGAGTTGGAACTCCAGTCTGGCCTGTCTCGAGGCTAGGATGCCATTCTGTCCCTGCTGAGGGAGGCAAGAGATGTGTGTAGGCAGAGACAGGGACAAAGAAGACTGGAGATGCAAAGACAGTGGAAAAACAGAACTTGCGGGTCTCTGAGGAGAGCAGAGAAATGGCAGGTGTGAGAAGTCTTCCACTTTGGGCTGAGGATCTCCATGGTTTTAGGCCCTGAAAGTTGAAAATCTGGGCTCAGAGCATACCTCCCACCTGATGCCTCTTCTGTACTATCCCTTGTTTTCTAGAATCGTTGTAGTGTGCCAGTGGGGCAGGCTTCTGAGTCACTGCTGAAGAGCAAAGCCTGCTTTGGAGCTGAAAACCTCATGAGGGTTCTGGGGAACTACTGCCGCCTTGGTGAAGTGCGCACCCATATCCGTGTGGGAGTTGTGGGTAAGGCGCCTGGAGGGAGGTCACAGGGCCTAGGCTCTTCCTTGGGCAGGGGCTTCATTGAGGGAAAGGATCCTGGGAACTTCACGTCACCCTGTTGGGGGGAAGAGAGAAGCAGTTCAGGAAGGGTTTTTTGATTCATAATTTGGGTTGGTGGATATGAGAATGTATATAGTACTCAGAATCACCACCATGTGCTGTGTTTTAGAAGCACGGACCAAATGCATAGGGCTGGGCTTGGAGTTGGCCCCATTTTATCCTACCAGAGCTATGGGAAGGAGTGGTGAATATCTCCCTTTTGCAGATAAGAATGCTAAGGCCCAGAGACAGGAAAGGGACCTGAGGGTCTCAGGTCTGTGTGAGACAAGGCAGAGCTGAGGCTCAAACCTGGCCCTGTCTGGCTCCCAGGGCGCTGAGGGAAGGTTGGTGAGTTTGGTATAGGGGAAAGAGAGAGGCAGGGGTAGACCAGCAGGGAAAGGAAGTGAAGTCAATAGAGAAAGACACTGAGAGGGAGCTGGACACTGAGGAAAAGGTACAGATATACATACCTGTGTAGACATAGAAAAGGAACTGGGAAGCCAAGTGGTGGGGTTGGTAGGCAGTGGAAAGGGGAGACAGATTGAAATGATGGAGGCATGGAGAGAGACAGAGAAATCAAAAAGAAATACCAAATGGACTTGGAGATAGGTGTGCGCAGAGTCCTGCAGAGAGAAACATGAGAGGGCTAGAGACACCCATGTATATAGGGAGGCACACCCATATGTGTACCCAAAGAAAGAAAGAAAGAGAGACAGACTTAGGGATAGAGAGAGAGATTAGAGAGAGACACGTAGAAACCAGCAGGAACAAAGATGGAGACATGGAGGAATACACACACACACACACACACACAGGCTTATGCACAATACAGATCCATAAATACAAGTGCAGATCTGCACGTGTGGAGACACCAGAGGAGGCACCTCCAGGGACAGACCCAGGGGCAAAACCCATGCAAAACAAGCCCTTCCTACACACTCACCCTACCTCTGCTTCTTTCAAGCAAATAGAGCCAAAGAGAGAGATACACTAGGCCCTCAGACACAGCCATGCACCCTGACTCACAGAGAGACAGATACACATACACACGTCTATAGTGAGATATATATGCATAGAGAGAGGGGGAGGACTGGAAGGAGGGAGGGGGTTTGGGAGACAGAAAAAGAAACAGTGAAACACATACAGATGGCCCCATGGGGAGCAGGAACGTGAGCTGAGTTGACATAGAGGGAATTACAATGAGAGGCAGAAGTGGTGGGGAGAAAAAGAGAAAGGACAATGACTAGCTAGAATGAGAGACGGACAAACCAGCAAAGAAAAATGCTTAGATAAAGAGATGTACAGAGAAAGGGAGATATAATAGAGAAGAAGACTGAGTAGGAGATAAAGTGAAAAATGGAAAAAGCAGTAATATTTAGAATGAGATCAACCAAGACACACATACACACAGATATGTATAGAGATTTACACACACACACATGCACATGCACAGGCACATCTGCGAAAGAGCAGTAGATACATAACTTCTAGGACACAGAAGGGGAGGTGATAATGAGAGACTCGGAGGGAGAAAAACAAAGACATCCACAGGCCCAAAGGTGCTCATAGATGCTCAAACAGAAAAACACCACAGGTAGACAGCTGGCTCAGAGAGAGGACATCTGGAGATGAGCCCCCCCCCCCCCAATTAATCATACACCAGACAGTTTTCTGTTTCATGGACACTTCCCAGTATGCAACTTCTGTTCGAACAGAGGCCTTGTATTGAGCACCTTTTATAGGCTGGTTATAGGTGGGAGGTGAGGTGAGTGTCACTTCTAGAAAGAGGGACACATCTACCCAGTGTGCTTACAAATGGAAGGGAGTGGTAAAAAGGCCATGTAGGAACTTGGTCAGGGCCTGGGGTGGGAAGGCAAGAGGCCAGACTGATTTGACTTCCCTGTGGCCTGGTCATTGCCCCTGCCTTGGCCTCCCACACAAAGGATGGCCCAAATGTTCCAAAGGGCCCTTCCTTCCTTCCCTGAGCCATCTGCTGCTCTTTTGTAGGCCTTCCGAATGTTGGGAAGAGCAGCCTGATCAATAGTCTGAAGCGCAGCCGTGCTTGCAGTGTGGGAGCTGTTCCTGGTGTCACCAAGTAAGCACCTGCCTGCTCCCCCACTTCCATTGACTACCATTCCCCCTACTCTCACACCTCAGCCCCTGCCTCTTTCCTTTTCTTGGAGCAGCCTCTGATTCTTTCCTGGGCATGGGAGTCTCATTAACAGGCCACATTTACCTGGTACACCCTAGGTATGTTCTAGGGACCCAGCTGGGTACCCCCCTCCAACTATCCCCCGCCCCGTTAGCTCCTTGATGCCTTCTAACAGCCATGCAAGATTAGGCTCTGAATAAGTAGCTTTGCTTCCTAGGTGAAGCACCTGAGGCTCAGAGAGCTGAAAGCTGACTCACGGTCCTGCAGCTCAGTCCCCAGTGGTGGAGGCTAGACTAGAACCAGTCCCAGGTCTGCAGGACCCCAGAGGCCCTGGCCTCAAGTTGCTCCACCCTCATCTGTATACCATCTGTTCCTAACCCCTTTTCTCAACTATTTGCCTGGAGCCTAGAGGATGCTAGACACATCTGGAATCATCAGTGTCCTGCATCTTCTCTTATCTCCTCTCTCTCCTGACCAGGTTCATGCAGGAGGTCTACCTGGACAAGTTCATCAGGCTGCTGGATGCCCCAGGCATTGTCCCAGGACCCAACTCGGAGGTGGGCACTATTCTACGCAACTGCATCCATGTGCAGAAGTTGGCCGATCCCGTGACCCCGGTGGAGACCATCCTGCAACGCTGCAACCTGGAGGAGGTGCGCAGGGATCTTGCTCATGTCCTACCCCACTCCAAGGGCCCTTCATTCTCCTTTCTGATTTCTCTTCTTCCTCTCTTCACCAGATTTCCAACTATTACGGTGTCTCTGGGTTCCAGACCACTGAGCACTTTCTGACTGCAGTGGCCCAGCGCTTGGGAAAGAAGAAGAAGGGAGGTATATACAGTCAGGAGGAGGCAGCCAAAGCGGTCTTGGCTGACTGGGTGAGGTAAGGAGCGGGTAGGGGTAGGGGTGAGGCTCCCTGAAGGGGACTGAGCTGTAGGACCATGGGTCGGTGATTATCTAACAACTCAGCGTCTTGTTCAGAAGCCACCGGCTGGGTTTGCTTGTCCCCTCACTGTTTCTGACTTGGGAACTCATTCTGTCTTTGATTGGTGATTTGTTCTCTTAATGACATCACCAATTTCCTCCGACCTCCCAATGCAGCGGGAAGATCAGCTTCTACACACTTCCACCCGCCACACACACCCTGCCCACCCATCTTAGTGCTGAGATCGTTAAGGAGATGACTGAAGTCTTCGACATTGAGGATACCGAGCAGGCCAACGAAGACACCATGGAATGTAAGTGAGGGCAAGTGGCCTGGCCTGCCCGGCACTTGGTCTTGCCACATGGATCTGGCACAAAATTCTGTGTTTGACCTCCCCCTTCCCCGATCCTGCTCTGGCTTTGAGAAAACTGTTCAACCAGCTCTAAGCTTAATGCTTTCACCCACAAGGTGGAGAATTTTAATCTGGGCTATGGGGGTGGTTGAGCTCTTGGTAGATAGGAAGAAAGCCAGTGAAAGACTATGTAAAGTGAGGTGTTCAGGAAATGCAAGCTTCCTTTCCCCATCTCTGGGGACCTGGAGTGGACTGAGACACTTCTCTCAAAAACCCTTCACTCATGTTGCCTTGGGCTCCGCCTCAGTCCCTGCATGTCTGTTCCTAGGTTTTCATTCTCGCCTCCATTGGTGGGTGAGGCATCCGAGTCACAGGAGGGAGATATTTGCTGAATGGTGCACACATAGTAAGTGGCAGGCAGAGGTGGCATTCAAACCGTCTTTCCTGCCCTGTTGTCGAAGGCTCTCCCAGCTCAGAGTAGCCAAGTGGTTAAAAGAAGGGACTGCCTGGATTCAAATCCAGGTTTTGTTTCTTGTTAGCTGTATGATGCTGCACAAGTTACTTAACTTCTTCATGTCTCAGTGGCATCATTTCTAAAACAGGGACCATGGCATCCACCTGTTATTTAATATGTAAAAACACTTACAACAGTGCCTGGCGTTTATATAGTACTATCTTGGTAAATATTAGCTGTTATTGAGCCATGTGACTTTCTAAAACTCTGGGAGGAAGTTAGTTCTTTTTAAAATACTACCATCTGCAGCTTGGGCTTATGGCTCCTTCTCTACCCTACCCTAGAAAGGTACCGAGTGCTCTCCAGGTCTGTCTGGACAGTTAGGGGTGGTAGAGAAAGCCCTGGCTGGCCTGCCTGCTAGTTTATCTTGAAGACTAGTAGTTTTCCCTCTCTGGGCCTGTTGGTGTCCTTGGACTACAGATAAGGATAAGAGGATTTGCCTGTTTTAGAGTTTATTTCCCAGGTGGCTTCAGGCAAATCAGCCCCCTTTCTAAACTTTGCTTTCCTTTTCTGTCATGTGGGCATTTGGGAGGAATTCCCACTTTCATTCTTATGGTGATGCTGGGCCCTGGCTGCATGTGAGGGCAAGAGGGGCTCGGTCACTGAGAATGCACTGGGCAAAAGATGGAGGTCTGGGAAGTTGAGAAGAGGGGGAGGTTACCAGTGAGAGTTTCCTAAAGGAGTTTGCCCTAGTGTTGGATCTTGAAGATTGAGTAGGGATTAGAGGCCCAGGGAAGGGGAGGGGGGATGGGGGATGGAAGGGAAGTTTAGAAGCAGGTGTGAGAGTGGTGTGGACCCAGGCAATGGGCACATTTGTGGTTTGCAGGGGAGGCCAGCTTCAGGCAGAGGGAGGGGGAGAGAGGCTGGTCCTGGGGAGGGAATCCCAGTGGTGGCCATTTACAGAGCAGCGTGTCAGGCAGTACATTTCCGGCGATCCTCCGCTATGACTCACAACAGCTCTGTGTCATAGGGTTTGTGGCATTCTCATTTTCCAGATGAGGAAGCTCAGGCTCTACGATAGCTCCCAGTAGGCAAGTGCCCTGCTGCAAAACCCAAGCCTTTAATCCTTTGTCCTGTGGCCTCCCAGAAGGAATGAGCGAGCCTTCCCTCCCAACTCCCCTGGGGAGTATCCACATATCCTTACCACTGAGGCCTGGCCAGGGGGCTACAGCAGGGAGGAGCTAGCCCTGACAGTGGTATTGGTTGTGTTAAAAGGTTTGGCCAATGGAGAATCTGATGAGCTGTTGGGTGACATGGATCCGCTTGAAATGGAGATAAAGTGGCTCCATTCTCCGATGATGAAAATAGTAGATGCCTTGGAAAATAAAACCACCGTGTATAAGGTAACTATCCCCTTTCTTCATGGCAACCCTCTCCTCCATCCAGGGCTCTGGGAAGTGGTCAGTCCCTTTTTCTTGGTTCCCATGAGGTCTACCTGTAATAGTGGGTAGATGCGGGTTGTTGTTCCCTGTGGGTTCCCTGGGTGCATGGCAGGTTGCATCCTTTGCTAAGCAATGGCAGGTCCAAGGAGGAGGTGTGCTTTCTCAAGCAGCTTTCCCAGCCTGTTTTCAGCCTAGAGGACAGGTATGCCCATCTAGCCACCCAGTTGTTCAAGTTGCAAACCTAGGTATCCCTGATTCTTCCTTCCCTCCAGCTGGTATCGGGGATCTCACACACAGTCGGTCACCAAGTCCCAAGGCTTCTCCCTCTTAAATCACTTGAGAAGCTCTCGGCTTCTTTCTGTCCCTACCATTCCTATAACCCTAGTTTAAGCTTCCAGTCCTCTCTCACCTGGGCATATGTTGCATAGTTTCTAATGGTCCAGTCTGACCATGTCACCTCCTTGTTCATAACTCCCCAGCACCTACAGGATGAAGTCGGTGCACTGTGCTCTGACCCCTGGAGGCTTTTTCAGCCTCTTCTCCTGCCAATCCCCTCATCTGTGCCCTTCGGGAGGTCACACTTTACGGACTTTCAGACATAGACATCTTCACTATGATGAGGGACACAGGCTGGGGCGGAGATTGGGAGAACATGGACCTAAGGGACCTAGCCTCTACTACTTGTGGGTCAGGGAAGCCTCTTGAAGGCTGAGGAATTATCTGGGTAAGGGGGGCGGCAGCAGCTTCTGGGCGGGGGCTCAGCCTGTGCTCATGCCAAGGCCCAAAGGGGTTAGACTGGGGTGTTTGGGGAAATTACTAGTGTTGGGCGGCTGGAGTGGGGTGGAGCCGGGGAAAGATGCATCTGCAGTCAGGTTACAGAAGACCTTGAGTTGGACTTTAAAACCATGGGTAAAAGGAAAGCCCTGAAAGTTGGTTATTATTTTTATGGGTCAAGGGGTTTTATTTTTCATTTTGTTTATTTAAAATATTTTTCTTATTGTTGTTTCTCGACTAGGTAATACGTGTACATGGTATAAAATGTAAAAGGTACCAAAATGGGTCCAGTGAAAAGTAAATCTCCTGCTTCTGTCTCCCAGCCACTCTGTCCTCTCCTTGGGGGCAGTCGCCATTAGCAGGCTGGAGTGTCCTTTCAGAGCTGTTTCATCTTTAGACACACACACCTGTACGTACAAGCAGATGCAGAGATCTGTTTGAACTCAGATAGCAGCATGCTGTTCATATTGTTCTGCACTTTGCTTTTTTCACTTACAAATTCATCGTGTAGATTGTCCCACACGATTAAAGAGCTGTCCTTTATTCTTGATGGCTGCGTAATCTGGAAGGGTTTCTTAAGCAACATGGTCAGGTTTGCATATTAGAACTATTACTCTGGTAGCTGGGGTAACCAGGCTAGAAAAGAAAGGGGCCAGAGTGGAGGCAGGAAGTCCAGGAAGGAAACTGTCACCTGTACTCTCTTAAGAGATGATGAGGCCTGCACCGGGGCAGTGGCGGGATTCCACACTATTCCCATCCTCACTTAGATTCAAAGGTTCCCCTGGTGGTTACAGGAAAATCAGTGTAAAATTGTGTGTTTGAGGCCATCCCCTGCTATTATTTCTCACTGAGCCCATAAGCCCCAGAACATAACCATTTTTCCACAGGGACCTATAGTAGTTCCCCACTCTTCACAAGCTCCAGACTCAGGTTCAGGGCCCTAAGCAGGGCCGCTCTGTTGCATAACTCTGGGCGATACCATTTAGGTGTGCTGTTCTGTGAAGGGTATCCCCTGTCCCCACAGCTGCAGAGTTGTACAGTGTGATAGCTTTGCCTTGTCCCCATTGTAGTGCAGCGGGTAGTCATACCTACATAAGCCTGAATACTTGGGTTCTAATTTATTCCATTGTTTACTAGCTGTGTGACCTTAGGTGCCTTGTTTGTCATAGCATTGTTGTAAGGGTTAAATGAGTTAATATGTGTGTACGTGTGTACATGTAAATCTATAAAACACACACACACATGTGTGTGTATACTTAGAATGGTACCTGGCACATAGTGAGCTTTCTGTCATTAGATTTTACTACCCACACGTACCTTCAGTTCCAGCCAAACAGACACCCTTTTGGGTGCCTAATAGGTATGCTCTGTGCTTTTCCAGTGTCCAGTCAGGAATGACTTCTCTCAGTAGAAGTGTGTTGACCACCACCATTCCCTCAATCTCTGTCACGCTGTGTCTCTCTAGCAGGCACTTACCATACTCTGACTTGTAGTATGATGGGTTGTACCCTTTTTAGCCTGGTTGCTTCTCGAAGATGGGACTGTGTCTGACTCACTTCTCCCGCACGTCCCCAACATAGCAGGGCACAAAATAGGTGTTAGAAAATATTCGTTAAATTGAATAAGACATTGAAGGGTCACTTGAGTAAAGAATCGTTGTAACACAATTGTCACTGATCAAGGAACTCTACCTTTTCATTTTCTTCTTGTGAAGGCCATGCAGAGTACTCACTGTCCACCCCTGTTTGACAGATGGTCAGACTGCAGCTCAGAGCTTAAGTAAGCACCTGCTAGTCATTGGTGCAGCCAGACTTGGAGCTTTGTTCTGCATGGCGCCAGGCTCCCTGTTTGTACCCTGCCTCCTCTGCAGAAGTCTTTGGAGGTACTCTGGGGGCCTAGACCTCACTGTTGCCCTTTGTCTCACCAGACTGGAGAGCTCACTGGGTATTGCACCAATTCGAACCGTCATCAGAAGGGGTGGGCTAAACGCAATGTGGACTCTTACCCTCGGAATGTCTGCCCAGTGGATCGCCGCCCAATGATACAAAGGATCATGGAGACGGATCCCCTGCAGCAGGGCCAGGCTCTGGCATTCGCTCTGAAGAATAAGAAGAAGATGCAGAAGCGCACAGGTGGGGACATGTGACCATCCCTCTATGTCTAAAAAGGGCCTACCTGGGGCCTTGACTAGGGGCTTTTGAGTGAGCACCTCCATGTATCCAGCCCTAGGCAAGGGTTAGGGGGCTCACCTATAGGCATGGTGGTTTTCAAACTCTAGCTTGTGTTAGAACTTCCAGAGGGATTGTTAAAACAGATATCTGGGACCCATCCCCAGAGTTTCTAATTGAGTAGGTTGGCCGTGGGGAGTGAGAATTTGTGATTCTAACTGCTTGCCAGGTGCTGCTTTTGTTACTTGTCTGGGGACCACACTTGGAAAACACTGGTTTAGTTAGTGTATCAAATAACCATCATTTATTTATCAGCTGCTTTCTATGTGTTAGAAAGCTTATAGGCTATATATAATGTTTACTTTATCAATAGGCAGTATACTCAAAATCTAAAAGGCATAAAAGAATATACAGTAAAATGTCTCCCTCCTTCCAATTTGTTAGTCATCCGGGCCTTCTCCCAGAGGTGACCAGTTAATTTCTTGTATCTCATTCCTGAGATAGGTACACAAGCAAATGTCTATATATTCTTATTCTCTTTCTTTGTACAAATGCTGGTCTACTGAACGTATAGTTTGCCACATCATTTTCCATTCAGTATATATCAGAGATATTTCCATGTCAATTCCTGAAAGAACTTCCTCCTTCATTTTAGTGGTGTTCTGTTGTGTGGCTGGCCCATTTATGTCTTTGTGCTACACTAATTAATCTTCACTGACCCACTGTAAAAGTCTTACCCACATCTGGTAAGTGAGGAAACAGCCCCAGAGACATTAAATGACGCACTCAGGGTAAGACAACTAGTATTTAATGGAGCCAGTGTGAAAACTGAGGATCAGTTGATCTCATAAGCTCTGTTCTTTGAACTAGACTGTGTTTTTAACCATTCACTCTTGGCCTGGTTCCACACTGAGGCCTGGGAATCCGGAGATGAATTGTGAGGAGGAAATAAGAAAACAGACATTGGCAACACAGAGTGATCACTATAAAGACACTGAAAGCACAGTGAGGGAACCTAACTCAGTCTGGAGATGGTAGTGGGGTAGGGGTGATCAGAGAAGGCTTTCCTGAGGAACAATAGGGTGTGGCTGGAAGATGAGAGGTGACAGTTCAGGCTCAGAGTACCTAGTATCCCTTTGCTGTCCTTTGCTGCGAGAGTTTTGAAGGTAATGACAGAATGTTAATAAGTATAACACAGTAAAAGGAAATGATATTTTGATAACTAGGAAGGGATAAAAATACTTGGTGCCCAGTGAGTCCGATATTCTAATACAGAAGATGTGTTGGGGTGACCATTTCACACGTAGACAAATGGGTCTGCCTGTGAGGTTGAGCAGCGGTTGCTAGCAGTCCACCAGTTGTTTTGTTTAGTGTGCGGGGGGTGGGGGTGAGTGAGCCAGTTTGGGAGTTTGGTGCAGACCGAGGTAGATGTAGGCCAGCTCCTACAGGCCTCTTGTTGGCAAGCCAGCCACCAGGTGACTGCCTGTATTTCTTCATCTGCAGATAAACTCGCCAGTAAGCTGTCTGATTCCATGATGTCTGCCCTCGACCTCTCTGGCAGTACTGACGACAGTGCTGGTGACTGACCGGCTGATCTCATCTCCTCCACGCTCCAAGTACCAGTTCCAGTGGGATGGGGGAATACAGATGAAATAAAATGGTTTGCTTCTCCCTGAAGCACGTGCATATTAAAAGAATCCCTCCACCATACCCCACTCCCACTGTTCCTTCCATTCTCCAGGGAAAAAACAAGGCCCAGGTGGCTGGAACTGGCCAACCCAATATCCTTTATTTAATCCCCACTGTGTTTTACAAGAGAAATAAATTATCAGCAGATCTGATGCTAACAGTTTCTCCCCCACCCCATAGGTTGGGTAGGTTGGGGGTAAGGGGGACTGACCCCTCACCAAACCCTCTTGGACAGCTAAACATGCAACTAGAGGCTAGGCTGCTGGTAGACCTGGGGGTCCCTGGGAGGGTGATGATTTCTTTACTAGTCCACAACAGATCTCGGCAGCAAGACACTCCTGCGGTGAGCTGCAGGCCACACATCTTCCACTCAAGTCCATAGGTCCTCGCCTGTGTTGCGTTGGGAGTAGGGTGAACAGTAATGAGCCTTCTGTGTCTGGAAGGCTCTGGGGATAGGATAGAGGAAGAAGAAGAAGACACATAAGCTTGGCTGGTGCTGAAGTATAAGCACTACCTTGTTCACATGAAGGGAAAACAAGGCACCTGTTGGTAGGGTGGTTAGGTGTGTTAGGGGCAAACCTCACTTTAGGGCATTTCTGGGCAGACAGAATCCCTTGGACTGAGCTACTCTGAGTGGCCCTGCCCTTGTGTAACCACATCTCATCCAGAACCAGCATTTGAATTCCATGATTCAAAAGCGTTCTGGTACCCTTTATTCACAGGCTGCAGCTTCAAGAGAGGTATCAGTCGGGGGGTACACCATCCAAGTCCTTTTCCGGTATCTAGACGTCATTACACCCCATTAAAATATAATTAGCCACCTCCTCTGGCGGAGCTGACCCCATCAGACAAGCACAGAGAAGCCCAAGCAGTGTCAGGGCCCCTCATAAAGGGATTGGGGTGGATGATGGCAACAGAAACACAATCTTACTTTACCTGGTGTTCGGATTGAGCACAGTAATTCAGTTCCCAGCTATCTACCTGAGATGACACATTTGAAGGGGGTGCGCATTCGATTGCTTCACTCTGCCCTGCCCCACCTTAAACTTCCACACCATCTATGGCCCCAGAGCCACATCTTAGCCTTGCCGCTCATGCTGTCACCCCCAAATTGACCTTTTCAAGTCCTAGAGGTGGAACCACAGGAAAGACTGGCAAGTCCTTGGCTGCAGGCTGATGACCAGGGAAGCACAGACCACTCCTGCATTCCGGAGCAGCCAGGGGAGAGAATTGGGTACTGCTTGAGCACAAACCCCAAACCCTGGAAACCTGTTAACCTCCATTAACCTTCAGTATGGCTCTGCCACTATGGGATTAGTCTCCTCATATGGGGAAAATAAACAGGCTTGACAGTTGTCAGGACACACCTAAGACATTAAGTGACGGTGACAGGATTGGAACCCAGGTATGGTAACCTTAAGCAGGCCAGTTCCTCTGCATTGAACTGCCTCAACATCAATTCACCTGCTGTGTGCCAGCCTCTAATATCAGCCCTTTAAATATATTCTCCATCTTTCTGGTTTAAAAAAATAGGGTCTTGCTAAAATTTCACTCTGACTCTTCTTGGACGAGATCCAACTTATTTTACACTATCTTGTTATCAAACTGTCCCTGTGGGTATAGTGTTATAATGAAAAATTGGGATACCAGGACAGCTAAGGCCATTTTACAACCATGTGGCATTTCATAATTTAACATTTAGAGTATGTTCTAGTACTCCTAAGAGATGCTGATTACTGAGTACTAGAAACAGGAGGTATCTTGATTAAGAAATAGCATGGGAACATAAATTGACCCAAATCAAACAGAACTCATGTAGCCATTGTTGAGGTAAGAATATGGGACTCCAGAATTTCCACAGCATATCACAAGTTTTTAAAAAAGCTGTTTCTTGAGTCTTTTCCTTCTTACCTTTTGAAAAATATACACATAATTTACATACAATAAAGTACCCTTTGAATTGCCAGTTATAAAAGTAGTCACGGAGATATAGAGTACAGCCTAGGGAATATAGTCAATAATGTGATAACTATGGGGCCAGGTGGGTATTAGGCTCATCAGGGTGACCACTTCATAAGGTATATAAAATGTCTGATCACTGTTATACACCTGAAACTAATATAATACTGTATGTCAGCTGTAATTGAAAATAAATTTTAAATGTAAAACTACTCTTTATAGTAGAAGTTCTGTGAGTTTGAACAATGTACACAGTAGTGAACTAGCATTAAGATACGTAATAGTTACATCACCCCTAAAACTCTCAGGCCCCTTTGTAGTCAACCCCACTTACCCTCAGATCCTGGAACCACTGATCTGGTTTCTGTCACTATAGTTTTGCTTTAGCTGAATGTCATGTAAAAAGAATCATACAGCATGTAGGCTTATTTTATCTATAGGTTTTTACATTTTTATTTAAAAATTTACATAGAATAAAATTCCCTCTGGTGTACAGTTCTATAAGCTTTGACATGCATATAATTGTGTAACCAACCCAAGGTACAGAGCAGTTCCATTACCCTCTGACCACTGCCAAATTCATTCCTGCTACTTTATAGTAAAAACCTCCCTCGAACTCCTGGCAACCCTGATTTGTTCTTTGTCCTTACAGTTTTGTCTTTTGGAGAATGTCATGTAAGTGGAATTATATAGTCTGTGACCTTCTGATACTGGCTTTTTTCACTAAGCATAATATGTTTGAGATTCATCTACCTTTTGGGGTTTATCAATAGTTCCTTATTTTTGAGACATACTTCATTGTATGGATGGATGTATCACTGTTTGTTTATCCATTCCTCAGTTGAAGTCACATTGGACTGTTTTCCAGTTTTGAACAATTAGAAATAAAGCTGCTACAAACATTTGCATGCATATCATTTGTGTTTTCATTTCTCTAGAGTAAATACATACAGTTGGATTGCTGGGGTGTATGGTAAGTATATGTTTAACATTCTCAAAAACCGCTAAACTGTTTCTCAAAGTAGCTCTACCATTTGGCATTCCCATCAATATGTGAAAATTTCAGCTGCTCCACATCTTTTCTAGCACTTGGCATTGTCAGTTTTTTGATATTAGGTATTCTAGTAGGATGTAGTGGTATCTCACTGAGGTTTTGATTGGCATTTCCCTTCTGACTAATGATTTGAGCATATTTTCATGTGCTTATTTGTCATCTCTATATCTTCTTTGGCAAAGTGTTCAAATCTCTTGCATATTTTGTATTGGATTGTTTTTTTAAAACATTTTTTCCCCAGTCTGTGGCTTATTTTTTCATTCTCTAAAAAGGGTCCTTTTTTCCACTGTGAAAAAGCTTTTAAAAAATTGTGTTAGCCCTGGCCAGTTTGGCTCAGCAGTTAGAGCGTTGGCCCAGGGGCTGGAGAGTCCTGGGTTCGATTCCTGCTAAGGGCACGTACTTAGGTTGCAGTTTGTCTCCGGCCCTGGTTGGGGTAGTGTGGGTGGCAACCACTTGATGTGTCTCTCTCACTTCAATGTTTCTTGCTCTCTCTCTCCCTCCCACTCTATCTGAAGATAAGGGCAAAAAAAAAAAAAATGTCCTCGGGTGAGGATAAAAAAAAATTGTATTAAATTTATTGGGGTGACGTGGATTAATAGGATCATCTGGGTTACAAGTATACATTTCTATGGTACAAGACCTGTACATTGCATTGTGTGCCCACCACCCAAAATCACACCATCTTCTGTCACCATATATTAGGCCCTCACTCCTCTCTCCCCTTCTCTCTGGCAACTACCACATTGCTGTCTGTCCACGAGTTGCAGTTTTGTATCTCACATATGAGTGAAATCATATGGTTCTTAGCTTTTTCTTCCGGACTTACTTCACTTAGCATGATATTCTCAAGGTCCATCTATGCTATCACAAATGGCAGTATTTTGTCTTATGGCTAAGTAGTATCCCATTGTATATATTGGGTGTCCCTCGAAAATGTATACACACTTTGAACTATAAAGCCAATGTTTATTAAAATACATTTCATTTTCAAAATCTAATAGAATCTATAGACACCTGTATACATTATTTTTGGGATACCTTGTATGTACCATATCTTCATCCAATCCTCAAGGACACTTGAGTTATTCCCATGTCTTGGCCACTGCGAATAATGCTGCAATAAACGTAGAGGTGCATATATCTTTGTGAATCCATGTTTTCAAGTTTTTTGGGTAGATACCCATGAGAGGGTATGCTGAGTCATGTGGTAACTGTTCTTAAACGTGAACTGCCAGTAAACGTTAACTAATTCTCCCCCCACCCATCCCCTGGCAATCATCATTGTACTTTCTGTCTCTAAATTTGACTACTCTGGGTACCTCATATAAGTGGAATCATACAGTATTTGTTTTGTTGTGACTGGCTTATTTCATTTAGCATGATGTCTCCAAGGTTCGTCCATGTTGCAGCATGGATCAGAATTTCCTTCCTTTTAAAAGCTGAATAATATTTCATTGTAGTATATGCCATATTTTGTTTATCCATTTATTTGTTGATGAACATGTGGGTTGCTTCCACCTTTTGGCTATTGTGAATTATGCTGCTTTGAGCATGGCTGTACAGATATCTGCTTTTAATTCTTTTGGGTATATACCCAGAGGTGGGATTGCTGGATCATATGGTAATTCTATTTTTATTTATTTTTTTAGTAACCACCATATTGTTTTCTGTAGCAGCCACAACGATTTACATCCCCACCAATAGTGCATTAGGGTTCCAGTTTCTCCACATCCTTACCAACACTTTTTTTCTCTCTCTTTTTTAAATAGTTTCTCTCTCTTTTCTTAAAAAAATAGTAATCATCCTAATGGTTGTGAAGTGGTATCTCATTGGGGTTTTGATTTGCACTTCCCTAATGATAAGTGATGTTGAGCATCTTTTCATGTGCTTATTGTTCATCTATATATCTTCTTTGAATAATGTCTTTTTGCCCAATTTTAAGTTGAGTTGTTTGATTTTTGTTGTTTAGTTGTAGAAGTTCTTCATATATTTTTCATATTGACCCCTTATCAGATATGATTTACAAATATTTTCTCCCATTTGTGGATTATTTTTTCATTCTGTTGATTTTATCCTTTAGTGCACAATTTTTTATTTTGATGTGGCTCAATTTTTCCTTTTGTTGCCTGTGCTTTTACTGTCATATCCAAGAAATCATTACTGAATCCAGTGTCAGGAAGCTTTCCTCCTATGTTTTCTAAGAGTTTTAGCTCTGACATTTAGGTCTGTGATCTATTTTGAGTTAACTTTGTATATGGTGTAAGGTAAGGGTTCAACTTCATTCTTTTGCATGTGGACATCCAATTTTTGCAACACTATTCATTGATCTAACAGTGTCTCTGAAGAGAAAAAAATTTAAATTTGATAAAGTTTAATTTATCATCTTATTCTTTTATGAATCATGCTTTTGGTGTAATATCTAATGAATCTTACCTATCATAAGATTATAAATATTTTCTCTGTTTCCTTTTATGGGTTTTTATAGTTTTAGGTTTGACGTTTAGGTCTATGACACATTTTGGGTTATTTTTTGTATATCGTACAAGATATGGATCAATTTTCATTTTTTTAAGCATATAGTTACCCAGTTGTTCTAGTATGAGTTGAGAAGGCTGTCTGTTCTCTATTGCATTGCCTTTGTGCTTTTGTCAAAAAATCAATTGTCTATGTATGTGTCAGTTTATTTCTGGAACCCCTCATCTGTCCCATTGATGTATTTGTCTATCTTTATGCCAATACTACAATGTTTTTTAAATTTTTATTTTTTTCAATTACAGTTTACATTCAATATTATTTTGTATTAGTTTCAGGTATACAATATAGTGGTTAGATAATCATATACTTTACAAAGTCCCTCAATATTTCCAATATCAACCTGGCACCATCCATAGTTATTACAGCATTACTGACTATATTCCCTATGCTGTACTTTATATCCCCGTGACTGTATACCACAATGTTTTGATTATTATAGCTTTATAATAATTTTTGAAACCAGATAGCCTCAGCCCTTCAACTTTGTTCTTTTTCAGAGTTGTGCTACCTCTTTGGGGGTCTTTTGCATTTCCACATGAATTGTAGAATCAGCTTGTTTATTTCTACACAAGAGCCTGTTGGGATTTTGACTGGGATTGCATTGAATTTACAGATCAGCGTCGGGGGGAGAATTGACATCTTAACAATGAGTCTTTGACTCATGAACAAGATATATTTCTCCCTTTATTTAGGCCTTCTTTAATTTTCTCAGCAATATATATTTTTAAATCCTCACCTGAGGATTTTTTTCCATTTATCTTTAGATAGAGTGGGAGGGAAGGAGGGAGAGAGAAGGATAGAGGGAGAGAGAGAGAGAGAAACACCGATGTGAGAGAGGCACATCAATTGGTTGCCTCCCACATGACCCCAACCAGGTTTGGGGACTGAATGTCAACTGAGTTATGTACCCTTAACCAGAATTGAAGCCATGACTCTTTGGTCCATGGGCTGATGCTCTAACCACTGAACCAAAGCCCTCAGCAATATTTTGTATAAGTCTTTCACATTTTTCATATTTATCTCTAAATATTTTGCATTTTAATGGTATTTAAAAAATTTCTTTTTCTAGCCCTGGCCGGTGTGACTCAGTTGGTTGAGTATTGTCCCATGCACCAAAAGGTTGGCAGTTCAATTCCTGGTTAGGGCACGTGCCCAGGTTGTGGGTTCTATCCATGCAACCGATTGATGTTTCTTTCTCACATAGATGTTTTTCTCTCCCTCTCCCTTCCTCTCTGTCTAAAATCAATAAAAAACATAAAACATTCAATTTATTTTTATTTTGTTAAAGAGAGAGGAAGGGAGAGGGAGAGAGATATAGAAACATCGATGAGAGAGAACACTGGCCGCCTCCTGCATGCCCTCCACTGGGGATTGGACCCACAACCTGGGCATGTGCCCTGACCGGGAATCGAACTAGCGATCTTTTGGTGCATGGTTCGATGCTCAACCACTGAGCCACACTGGCCAGGCTAAAATTCAATTTCTAATCATTCACTGCTAGTATATAAAAATACAATTGATTTCTGTATATGGATATTATATCCTGAAACCTTAATTAGCTTATTTCCATTAGCTTTTTTTTTGGTAGTTTTAATTGGACTTCTACATAGATAATCATGTCATTTCACTCTCTCCTGGCTTGTAAAATGTTTACTGAGACATCTGATGGTAATCATATGGGGTTTTCTTTGTAGTTTACTGTCTCTCCTGCCTCCCTGGATGCCTTGAGAATTCTTGTTTATCATAAAATTTGACAGTTTAAGTATCATGTGTCTTGGAGAATGTCTTTTTGCATTGAGATAATTGGGTCTTCTGTTAGCTTCTTGTAATTGAATGTCCAGCTCCTTCCCTAGGTTTGCGAAGTTCTCATTAATTACTTGTATGAATAGACTTTGTTCCTGTCTCCCTTTCTTCTGGGATACACATTATCCTTATATTGCTCTTTGTAATGGAGTCAGATAGTTCCCATAGCATTCTTTCATTTTAAAAAAAATATGTAATACTCTTCTTCCATCTGAATAGTTTCTAGGTTTCTATCTTTGAGCTTGTTAATTTTCTCTTCCATCTGGTCTGCTCTATTTTCAGTGCTCTATAATGTATTCTTTATCTTATTTATTTAGTTCTTCAGCTCCAGAATTTGTGTTTGGTTCTTTTTTTTATAGTTTCAACCTTTTTTCATAAAGTATTTCTTTTGTTTGTTAATTTCATTACTGAGCTCATTGAATTATCTTTTTTAGTTTTTTTGTATTTCATTGAATTTCTTCATTACTTAAATTTTGAATTCACTGTTATTTAAATCACTGTCTTCCATGA